AAATAAGAACTAAATATAATGTAATGTAAACTAATCAGAAAAGCTAAAAAGAAGGAAGGTTCTATTTTGTCTTCCAAAGTAAACCTGATACAGTACTCAATTTCTTCTGTTCTGATATTTTGCAAGATAAGCTACAAATTGTTTCATGTTCCATTATAAACCCAAAGCACAAGGATGATGGGACAGTTTGCATGGACAAAATCAATGATGATCAATATCTCTCCCTAATCTCAAATGATGATGGGAACCTGCTCTAGAGATTTAAGTATTAATCTTCATGAAAGTCTGGAATGGCTTGCTTATAATATGTAAGAAAGATTTTATCAGTGTTTCTAGTATTAATATTACGTTACTTTGAAATTACATTTGAATGTATGCAATTCCATTATCTTTTTAATTGCATCAAAGACTGAAATAGATCCTATGAAGTAGTATTAATAATATCTTTATTTGACAACCAGACTTGGATTCAGTATACACAGTATATGTTCAGCTTTTCCCAGCCTGATGCTCTTCAGATTGCACTGAGTTCCTAGTCAGTAGCCAACATGATTTATAGTCTATGTTACTGTTACAGCAGATTTCAAGTCAGCTTTTTGTGCTGTGTGAGAAAGATAATTATAAAGAACAGTATATATATTTATAATGATAAAGCTTTACTTGACATTAATTTGCCTCTTTATATAAAAAAATTATATTTGCATAAAACTAAAAATTTCTACTGTCCCCAAAATATTGAAGATACATGGTGCACATTTTATCTGTAGTGTCCACTCCTCCTTTTGTTTTATTGTAAAATGTAATTATGAAGGCTTTTTCTTCAGAATCAAGATTAATTTGTCAGGACATAAACATTTCCAGCAATACACGACTGTTTTTGCCAAACATGAATCACTTATGTAACCATTGGAAAATATCTTAAAAGGTTGTGTGCTGTTCTTTTTAAAAGATTAGTTCATAATTTTGCCTTTCCTAGAAAATAATTAGCATTTGCTATTATTTCCTCCTCTTCCTCAGTTTCTTTTCTTTTTTTTTTTCTTTTTTTTTTCTTTAATTTATATGCCGCCCTTCTCCGGAGACTCAGGGCAGCTTACAATGTGCTAAGCAATAGCCTTCATCCTTTTGTATATTTATACAAAGTCAGCTTATTGCCCCCACAACTGGGTCCTCAATTTACCTACCTTAGAAAGGATGGAAGGCTGAGTCAACCTTGAGCCTGGCGAGATTCGAACCTGCAGTAATTGCAGGCAGCTGGTCTTAATAACAGGGTGCTTTAGACCACTGTACTAACAAGGCTCCTCATGAACTTGTTTCATGAACTTTTTGTTCTGATTCAGCGTCCCCATCAAGTTCTTCTACATCAGGGCTGTCAAACTGGTGCTCCACGGGCCAGATGCATCATAGGCCACACCCATCCCAGCTCCGCGAAGGCAAAAAAGTCACGATACATCACCTGACATCAATGTAATTCGGTGAGTTTGACACCCATTTTTTAAATGATTTTCAGAATCAGTATCAATTTCATCTGGCGGCAGGAATATTAAGTGTGTTTGCCACCTTAGTTTTAGAGAGGGAGAAGTTTTTAACAAATGGGGAAAAAAATATTTTGTTAAATTTATTTGATTTTTACGCCACCTTTATTATTTTAATCTCCGAGGGAGATGGACAGTTAAGAAATATGAAACATACATACATAAATTTTAATAAATAACTTAAATTTGAGACCATCTTGAACCCTAATGTCTCAGTGTTTAGAATGCAGTACAGGTAGTCCCCGAATTACCACCACAATTGAGCACAATATTTATGTTGCTAAGTGAGAAATTTGTTAAGTGAGTTTTACCCCATTTTACAACTTTTCTTGCCACATTTGTTAAGTGAATCACTGCAGCTGTTAAATTAGTTACATCATTGTTAAGTGGTCACAAAAGGTGATCACATGACCCCCGGGACATTGCAACCATCATAAATATGAACCAGTTCTCAAGCATCCAATCATATGACCAGAGGGATTTTGCAATGGTCATAAATGTGAAAAATGGTCATAAGTCACTTTTTTCAGTGCCGTTGTAACTTCAAACGGTCACTAAATGAACTGTCACAAGTCGAGGACTACCTGTATTACAGGCTAACTTTGCTCACAGTCTGGAGTTCAATCCTGATGGGGCTCGAGGTTCACTCAGCGTTCCTTCCTTCCAAAGTCAGCAAAATGAGAAACTAGATTTTGAGGGGCTATATGCTAACATTACAAACAGCCCAGAGAGTGCTGTAAAAGCACTATGAGGCAGGTTGTAAATCTAAGTGCTATTGCTACATAATACTCCTTCCTCTTCCTATTTTTTTCACAACAACCCTGTGAGGTGAGATCGGCTGAGTGTGACCGGTCAAGTCATCCCATTTGGCTTTTGTGCCTTAAGGTTGAACTAGAACTCACAGTCTCCTGGTTCTAGGCCAGCACCTTAATGGTACACCAAACAGGCAAATATAACACTACCATTCTGCCTTCCATTGAGGACCTGTATACTGCACGAGTCAAAAAGAGGGCTGTACAGACCCCTCGCATCCTGGACATAAACTGTTTCAACTCCTACCCTCAAAATGACGCTATAGAGCACTACACACCAGAACAACTAGACACAAGAACAGCTTTTTTCCAAATGCCATCACTCTGCTAAACAAATAATTCCCTCAACACTGTCAAACTATTCACTAAGTCTGCACTACTATTAATCTTCTCATCATTCCCACCACCCATCTCCTTCCATTTATGACTGTATGACTGTACCCTTGTTGCTGGTATCCTTACAATTTATATTTACTGTTTCCTAATATGATTTGATTGCTTATTTGTTCCCTATGACTATCATTAAGTGTTTTACCTAATGATTCTTGACAAATGTATCTTTTCTTTTATGTACTCTGAGAGCAAATGCACCAAGACAAATTCCTTGTGTGTCCAATCACACTTGGCCAATAAAGAATTCTATTCTATTCTAGAATAGCATGAGCACAAAATATAGATGTAATATAGAATGGGAAAAATTATGGAGCAAAAATTATAAATTAACAGTCAACTGCATACAAAAAAAATCTGTACCAAATGGTTTATAGGTGGTATTTAACACCGGCGAGATTGGCTAAAATGTATACAAATATGAAACCAGAGTGCTGGGAGTGCAAACACAAGGATGGAACATTTTATCACATATGGTGGCAATGCTCCAAAGCAAAAAAATATTGGGAACAGATAAGGAGATGGCTGAGATAACAGGAGAACAAATTGAATTTAAAGCTGAACTATTTTAATTAGGAATGATTAACCGAAAGATCAAGAAGCAACTCCAATACATTATTTTACACATAGTAACAGCAGCGAGAATTGTCTATGCTCAGTGTTGGAAACTAGAAAATATACCAGCCAATGAGATGATTATATACAAGATACTAGAATGTGCTGAGATGTATAAGCTTATATTAGAAATGAAAGGCAAGGAAGAAGCAGAGGTGTGGAATAAGTGGTATAACTAGTTAGAACAGAGAAAAGAAAGAAAAAGAGCCTGGATAGCTCTGCAGACAAAGGCACTGTAATTTAACACCAGCTGTCTGCAATTAAAGTAAGTTCGAATCTTGCCAGGCTCAAGGTTGACTCAGCCTTCCATCCTTTCTAAGGTAGGTAAATTGAGGACCCAGTTTGTGGGGGCAATAAGCTGACTTTGTATAAAATATACAAAAGTATGAAGGCTATTGCTTAACGCATTGTAAGCCGCCCTGAGTCTCCGGAGAAGGGCAGCATATAAATCAAATAAAAAACAAACAAACAAACACAAAAATGTATAGGAATAAATGTAAATACCTGTAAGAGACACATGACACAATACTGGTAAAAAATGTTTTATTGTTATGTAAATTGAAAATAAAAAATTAAAATAATAAAAAAAAGAATTCTATTCTACCAGATGAAATATGCCCAGATGAAATATGCCCAAAGATCAGCAACACCATTTCTGCCTCCGAGGAAACTCAATCCTGAAAACTTTTTTTATTGCTGTTAAGGTCACCTTATAGCAGAGGTCTTCAAACTCGGCAGCTTTAAAGACTTGTGGACTTCAACTCCCAGAATTGGAGTTGAAGCTATGCTGGCTGGAGAATTCTGGGAGTTGAAGTCCGCAAGTCTTAAAGCTGCCAAGTTCGAAGACCTCTGCCTTATAGAAATAAGAAACCCTTGATTGGGATAGAAAAAAAGCGAGATTTATTATACTGCCGATTGAGCTGGGGAAGGTTCGCTGAGGTTCGGATTTAAACCGCAGCGCGGCTGTATCCCTTAATCCAAACAGGCGAGTCTAGCCTTCCAGCGACCGCCAAGAAACTCGCTGGTTACTTTCCTCCCGCGCTCTAGGAAATTTAAAAAAAATAAAATAAAATCAGAACGGGCATGATTACAGCGCATGCGCAAGCATGGAAGCTTCACGTGTCTTCGCCGGCAAGAAGGGAAAGTAAGGATAAGGCCGACCAATAGCTTTCCCGGAGTGAAAGGGCTCTGGAGTCATAGCTCAATCTCCAAAACCTCTTTGAATCGGTCCGTCTCTGGACCGCGCGGTTTTTATTTTTAAGACAAGTCTTGAGGTGCCTTTTGAAAACGTAACTCTCCCAGGAACAATAATAAATAATTCGCAGACTGAAACTTCGGGTTCCATTCGGAATGGCCCAAACCGCTCTTCGTCCTTGCCCTTGAGTTACGTCTATCCGTATTGGACTGTTCCATTTTTTTAAAAGGGGATCTATTATATTTGTTGGGGTTGAAAAGGAAACGCGAATACGTTTTTAAAGTAATCCCAACTCTTCGGGATAAATCACACCATTTCTCCAGCATCTGGGTTTGCGGTAATGTATTCCTCGGTTCGAGCATAGCGGATAATTGCCAAAGTGTCTCCCAGGACACCCCCCCCCCTCGTCTTTCTCGGGGAATGTAACCTCCTCCTGCCGGTCACGTGCTCCCCCTTAGGCCGCTGGGTTCTTTGGCTGCACCAGCGTGCGTGAGTAGCCATGGCGGGGTTGCTCCGGTCAGCCGTGTGGCTTCGTTCGCGTCTCTTGCTCTGGCGAGGGGGATGCGCCCTTCCGGGGCCCGTCCCGTCACCGCTGCCCTCGGCTGCCCTCCGACGCTTTAACAGCAACCCCAGCAGAGCGTGAGTATTTCCCCCGAGGAAAGCACGCAGCCTCTCGGGTCCGGGAGTGGAGGCAAGCAGGGGGAGGTCGTGAAGATGCTTGGGGTGGGTTGGTGGGGGTTTGTATCCCTTTGCTGCTTTCTGACCACCGCCCGAATATCTGCAGCCCAGACTGTTCTCGGTCCGCAACACGAGGCTGCACGCTTTTGCAGCCTTCCTCGGCCGTGGCGTGGATTATGGGGCTTGTAATCCAACCCAGTCGATAGCTGGACAGTAGGTTGGATCAGGCTATGCCCATCTGAACTCCGGGTTAGAATTGTTAGCTTGGAGGACCAGACCGAAGGCCCACCCTGCTTTTTATTACCAGTTCCGCACTAGCTGCCAGTGGGAAGCTGCAGGGTATAAAACACGCGACAAAAAGCCGGTTTTCAGAGACAAACTGCCCTGGGGGTATGAAAAAGGAAGAAAGGAAGGGAAGAAAGAGAAAGGAAGGAAGGAAGGAAGGAAGGAAGGAAGGAGGACAGGTCCTCCAGTTACGACCGTAACTGAGCCCAACATTTACATTGCTAAGTGAGGCATTTGTTAAGTGAGTTTTGCCCCATTTTATGACTTTTCTTGCCACAGTTATTAAGTGAATCACTACAGTATTTATTTATTTTATTTATTTTGTTGCATTTCTATGCCGCCCAACTCCCAAGGGACTCTGGGCGGCTTACAACAAAGAATAAAACAATGCGAACAATCCCATAAAAAATATTAAAAAGAAAAACATTAAAACATTAAAAACTTTAAAAATGTTAAAACACATGCACTCCAATTCGTGGCCAGGTCTCGCAAGATCATTATAACGAGATCAACGGCCCCAGGCCTGCCAGAAGAGCCAGGTCTTCACCGCTTTGCGGAAGGCCAATAGGGTGGGGGCGATCCGGACTTCAGGAGGTAATTGGTTCCAGAGAGCCAGGGCAGCCACAGAGAAGGCCCTCCTCCACAGGTCCGCCAGCCAACATTGTTTAGCTGATGGGACCGGGGGGAGACCAACTCTGTGGGATCTTACCGGTCGCTGGGAGCTATGTGGTAGAAGGCGGTCTCGAAGATAGATAAATTAGTAACCCAGTTAAGCGAATCTGGCTTCCCCATTGACTTGGCTTGTCAGAAGGTCGCAAAAGGGACGCTCGCATGATCCTGGGGCCAGAAAAGGTCGTAAATATGAACCAGTTGCCCAGCATCTGAATTTCGATCAGATGATCGTGGGTATGCTGCAAAGGTGGTAACTGAAAAAACGGCCATAAGTCACATTTTTTCAGTGCTGTTGTAACTTTAAACGGTCACTAAATGAACTGTTATAAATCGAGGACTACCTGTACTTGGCTGTTCTTTTCCCTTTAACCAACCTCTGCCTAACCTGGTAGTCGTTGCTACAGATTCAGTCAGTGATTTTCTACCGTTAACTCTGTGTTCTGGAAAAAAAATTGGCTTGAACATTCCACCGTTGAAGCATAGCCAGCATCCTTGGATTCTAATACTATGGAAAGGAAGATGTATTTGCATAACCTACTCCATGTTTAAATGAACCATGGTTTACTGAATTAATCCAATTAACTCTTTATGCAACACTCTGAACTAGTGTTTCTCCACCTCTGCAAAAATTTGGATTAAACTCAACACTGCTAAAGTTGTTGAGGGTGAGATATACTGCTCCAAACTATAAATCAACTGTTTAGTTAGATTGACACAGCTAGTTGCATTTTAGTTTAGTGTGGGTGACGAAATCTGTCTGGAGAGTTTTGGATGTGCTTTCCATATTTTGCTTAAATTTATAACTTGAGATTTTGTCTTTTGCTTTTTCTCCCTAAAGTTAATTTTTTAAATATTGACGTCATTACGGGGTTGCTCTGCTCAGCACATTGTTCTGCTTGCCATTTCCTAGAGCTAACTTTACAATATCCTTTCTGAGTTACAGAGACCAGAACAATACAAGTAGTCCTCGACTTACAACAGTGGATTTATTGACCGTTACAACAGCACTGAAAAAGTGATTTATGTCCATTTTTCACAGTTACGACCTTTGTAGCGTCCCCATGGTCACATGATCAAAATTCAGATGCTTGGCAACTGGCTCATACTTTTGACCATTGCAGTGTCCTTGGGTCATGTGATCACCTTTTGCAACCTCCTGACAAGCAAAGTCAACGGGGAAGCCAGAGTCACTTAACAACCATCTTACTAATTTATCAATTGCAGTGATTTGCTTAACAACTGTGGCAAGAAATGTTGTAAAATGGGGCAAAACTCAACTAATGTCTCACTTAACCACATAAATTTTGGGCTTAATTGTGGTTGTAAGTTTACTGATGGTAATTGGGACTGTACACAATATATTTAAAAATATTAAAATATTTCAAAAGTTTTAAGTCATCGTTTACTCACTAAAGCTTTGAGTGTTACACTGGTAGTATTTTTTTATCATCAAGATGGTGTGTTTTGTGGGGGTATTTAACCATGCAGTCCTGTGTCTAATTCAGCGGTAGAAAATTGAATTATGTAATTATTGACTATGATCAGTGGTGGGTTGCCCCTGGCGAACTGGTAGTAAAACTGGTGAGAGGCTCCGCCCACTGACCCCGACATCATCAGGAAGCTTCTGCACATGTGCAGAAGCGTGAGCGAAGCAAGCACGTGTGTGCGGCCCCGTTGTGAACCAGTAGTAAAGGTAAGTAGAACCCACCCCTGACTATGATGCCTATGAAGGTGTAATCCAGCAATTGGAAAATCACTAATCCAGCTCGAAATAGACTTTGCCACATTTATCACCTGATTTCAACATTCATGTGGTTCCAATTGCTTAAATATGTCTTCTTCCTAACCTTTTGTTAATACATTATATTCCTGTTAGCTGGCTGTGTTTACTATGCAGAAAGGAAATTCTTTGCAGTTCCAGGTATACATTGTGCTTTATGGCACCACATCCTTTTTGACATATAGAGCAAATTCTCTCCAGTAGACCTTTCTTATTATTTCTGTAGAGATCACCTGCAGAAATAATTTCATTGGTTATATACCACGCCATTAGACTTCTTCAATGTCTGTATGTTCTGTTTTTCCTTCTGAAGTCAGGTACTCTATTGTTTTGTCTTGGAGAGGTCTGGCATTTACATAAAAGGATATGCACTAGAGTTTCTTTGGCATGCACTTTTACCTTTGTGTCCTTATGGGTTTCTTGATTAACTACATTTATTTCCTGTACCTCTGCTGCCCCCCTTGGAATGGTTATTAAGATGTATATAATCATCCTCTAGGAATTATTTTTCCCTCAGCTTTCATCTTGTTGACTTTTCTCAGGAATCAGATTAAAGGTAGTTTACTAAATTTTTTAATATTACTTGCCGTCATTCTAGTTTCCTCTTATTTTAGGCATTGTATATTGTACAGATCTGTCTTGTCCTGAAAGGTACTCCAATACCTCTAAATTCTTTTTCTTGGTATCATCACCTCATCCAAGGACTGAGACTGTTCTCATATTCTATTAGTTCTCTGCTTGCAACAGGTAAAGCCACCGTGACCATCCAAGCAGGCATGTTATCATTTGGTTGACATGCCTCTCATGCATCCAACTTGGTGCATCTGATAGTCAACCACACACCTACAGTTCCTTACAGCCCTTGTGCCCAGAGGGTTATCTTTAATGCAAGCCACCAAGCTGGCTTTCGTGGCTAAGGCAGCTCTTGAACTCATGGTCTCCCGTTCTCTAGCCTGGTGCCTTAAACCCTAGACCTGTTCTTTATCAGCCAATTCTGTAAGATAATTTGACTCCTCAAGTTTATTTGACTGTGACAGGGTACAGATAGCCCTTGACTTGTAACCATTTGTTTAGTGACGATTTGAAGTTAACAACAGCACTGAAAAAAGTGTCTTATGACTATTTTTCACTCTTATGACCATTGCAGCATCCCCATGGTCACATGAACAAAATTCGGATGCTTGGCAACATAAACTTTATGATGGCTACAATATCCTGGGGCCAATGAGGAAGTCAGATTCGTTTAACAGCCATGTTACTAACTTAACCTGCAGTGATTTACATAACAACCATGGCAAATGGGCAGAACCAACTTAACTGTCTTGTTTAGCAACAAATTTTGGGTTCAATTGTGCTCAAGGACTAACTGTATCTCTTACATCAATCAGTTCAGTAGGTAAGAGCTAGAATTAGTACTTCTGAGTGAGTTTAGTTATTACACACAATAAATTACTAATAAAGTATCTTAATTTTTTCAGAGTTGATCTGAACTACCGTGTTTCCCCAAAAATAAGACCCTGTCTTATATTTTTTGAACCCCAAAATAAGCACTAGGCCTTATTTTCAAGAGGTTTTATTATTTTGGGGTGCGTGGAGCAAGACGGGGCTCCTCTTGCTATCTTACCTGATTTCCAGCTCTGTCTACCTAACTTTAACCAGAGGAAATGGCGGGAACCGGCTGCGCATGTGTTTAAATATTTTCAGGGAGAGCTTATTTTGGGGGAGAGCTTATTTTAGGGGGGGCTTATTTTAGCACATGTGCTCAAAAGCCCAATTGGGCTTATTATCCAGGGAGGTCTTATTTTCGGGGTAACGGTACCTTTCATCCTAAGCTTTGCACTGTAGCTTTTGTGATCCCTAACTATAGATATGCTAACTGGGACTTAGTGGAGTTCAGAATATTTGATGGGTAGTAGATTATGGTTTCTGCCTCAAATACTAGAGAATATACACTATGTTGCTCAGAATTAAATTGTTAGGCTCTTGGTATTCTCTGAAATGATTTTTTTTTTTTTCAGATGTTTCATAGGTGAGGTAATAACAATTTACAGGAGAATGAAGTTTGCTGTTTTTTTCTGTTAATAGTTTGCTTTTTGGTTGGGGTATGGTCTGGCTTCCTTGGTAATTCATCGATTGTGATATTGCTTTTCTGATTAGTTTTCTAATACTGTTTATTTGGTATTGATTGTTAGTTCAGTATGCTCTGGGTTGTTGACTGTTCTTT